ATGCACTTAATTAACTGGAAAACAAATGTTGGACACTTAACTTAATGCACTCAACTGTCCTTGCTTTAATTACTTAGTGGAGAGGGAGAGGTTCTCCAACCCGTTCTCATCAATCTGCGTGTAAATAACACGACTTTACACTTTCTAATTGCGTGTAATGCATACGCCAAATGCCCGTTTTGCGTGCATATGATACGCCAATCCTTCACATTAACTTCGGTGGAGAGCAGATGCGTACAAATACCACGCGTCATCGTCAGCGACAGTGACGTCACCAGCGAGGCGCAGTTCGTCCAGTTCACCTGATGCGTGTACACCTTCAAAAAGGTAAGGGCACAGTTATAACTAAATGTCTTCAACATTACCTGTGAAGGGTTGAACCTCTGAAGGACTTGTTCAGCCTCCTTGACAGCTTCTTCGAGATCAGCATTGGGAGCGTCGAATTGAAGTTCCCTGTTAATTCTAGCAGAGAGCGAGCGAGAGAGACTTTTACAAGAGATTTATAAAAAAAAAGTATTTATTTATTTAAAGAGCTGCTGGATTACAGGTTGTTGTGGACTATGTGATCTGACATAACTGCAAGACAGAAAAAAATACTGAATTGAATTAACTGTAAAAACACAGTTACTGTGGTAAAACCATGGTAAGTGTTGTGGTTATTGTGCGTTAGTAACTACACGCAAAACTGGCATTTGGCGTATGCATTACACGCAATTAGAAAGTGTAAAGTCGTGTTATTTATACGCAGATTGATGAGAACGGGTTGGGTTCTCAGACTGTAACTTTGGATGACAAAACAATCTTATAAAATTCATACACTACACAATTCATACACTAGTACATAGTGTATATGACATATTATACACTATGCACTGTGTAAGTTTAAGTAGGTTTTCTGGTAATGGATTTTGGTATATATTTTAATACCTTGTGTGTGCTCTGGGAATTAAACTCAACCAGGTGACCTGCAGTACAACATTCCTTCCGTGCGTATATACATGTGAAATTATTTTTCTTTTTCTTTCACTTTGAGTTCTTTCTCTGACAGTTGCATCCTTTTATGGCAGTTTTACACATGCATCATCTGTGAATAATACCCACATAGACATTTGCTCTAATGATTGAACTGATAACTGGTGAGAAAGATATTTGGTGCCAGAATTTTACACATTATTCCAGCCCTTCAGCGCTGAATAATAAGTATTATCAAGTCAACATTGAATATACAGTATATTAGATGAGGCATACATATCGAAATGTAGATATTTTTCTAACATCAAATTGAGTTGTCTTTTCATATTTTTAGACAATTTAATTAAAATTATTTGCACTTACGAAGAATATAAAAACAATCTGTGAACGTATGTGCATGAAAAGACTTTTAACAGTTTTGTCGCATAATCTAATGGAACTGCAGTTACTATTTTATTTAATAGCGCCAGATAACTGTCAGATTTTCTGCTTGTAAGTTTGTTGAAAGCAATGTGGCCATGGATATTAGCAGTGGCTCTAGATAAAAACGTGCGTGTTGAATTGAGTGCTGATGAATCATTTGAGTGTTAGGGACAGATAGTTCTTAAGCATGATAAGGCATCTGAAAAGCATCTTTAAATGTATTAGTCCATTTCACACCTTCACTAAAATTTCTAAAACTTGCTAATAACGCAGAGGTGCACCACGATGCCTGTCAACCACTCCTGCCTCCTGGCAGAAATCCCCTTTCACACTTTAAATGATTCTAACCTTGTTACAACCGTTCCTCCAATTCAGCCTGCGTTGAAAATGCACACGTTGACAACCTACCATCTTAAAATTCATTATCCTGACACCTCACCATCACCACAGGGCAAGATTAAGAATCCAACCCACGATAATTAAGGGACACCCAGATGCTTAATGTGGCGCTTCAGTGCTGTTTTGCGAGGCACTGCGATGATTCGGTCCTTGAGTGCGTCATTTAAATCCCACACGGCTGATTGTCGCCTTTGAACGATTCAGTGAGTGACCTTGCAACGTGACCATCTTCGAGAAGTTCGTCTGGATACGTCCCTGCCGTTTGAGTATGAAAGAAAGTGCGAGCGAGTAATGTGGTAATGAGCGAGCCTCTGAGAGCTGGTGCGTTTCCCTCATTAGGATAATAAGTAAGACATCCCTAACATGACATCAGCTGGAAAATGTGGCAATTACAAAACCTTACTTGGGCTCCTGGAAGCAACAAGAACAAACCAATTCCTTGAAGCAATCTGTTCCTATAATGTGTGTCATGTAAATGAAAGGTCTGAACATCCTCTTTTAATTCCAGCACCCCTCCTCTCACCTAGCTCGTTACCGGTCCCTGGATTCCCTCATTTCCGCCCTTTGGAAGTCCATTTTAACCAGGGGTTAAATAAAACGAACATTACTGCGATCTTGGTCAGAAGGCTACAGCAAATTGAGCATTTACTGCCCCACAATGTTTTGAGGATGCTATCAAGCATCACTTCCTAATAGTTAAATTGATATTACACTTTCAGCAATACCACAGAAGGCTAATTTCTCCACACTCAACTTGCTGGTGGCGCACAGAAAAGTGAAACAACATATGTCAACATAATGTTTCCACTACACATGCTGAATACAAAAATTATAAAATGCACTTTTGAGGTATCTTGTCTGTCTAAATGATTTACTTGCAATGTTTTTTTTTTTTCATATAGCCTAGTCTAAACATTCATAGCCACTTCGCTTTCGATAAGCCTTAAAAAAGGAGAAGCGTTTGAAAATGACACTTCGTCTGAATTGCAAAACCGAGTGCGGAACGTCGGAATGTATCATTACTCATTGTTCCGGTTAACTAATTTGCATCAATTATGAGCCTTGTAAAATAATTTACTGTCTCATAATTTAGAACATTAGCCTACGGATGGCTTTTTTTTTTTTTTTTGTACTAAATTATATTTGCTTATATAGGCTAGCACTTTTTTCGGTTCTATAAACCTAATATTCTTTTATGCGTTTTGAATATATCCAATTAACGAAAAACAACTAAAAAATATGGCACTTTTTAACGCATTCCAAGCGATTCAGATGATACAAGTAGAGCATCAGTGTGCAGCGTATATTATTGGTCCATATTAAATGAGTATCCTGCAAATTGCGTATCCTGCAAACGCTAAAGAATCCAGCTCTACATAGGGTCTCCATAACTTTTGTCGATATCCGAAAGCTTAACAGTTTTGACTTTTTGAATTTCGTTTGCTTTCAAACATTTTTTCTCTTAAATGTAACTAAAATTATGTTCCTTGTGTTTGTGTATGTGTTTCAGAATGCTGGCTATTTTACACTATAGGCTACGCTTTATTTGCATATATTTTATATAATTTTGAGAGAGTCCTGAATTGCTTTTTTTATTTGTTATTTTTTGTCTTTTCTTATTATGGAGAAAATGTAAGACATGTACTGGCGTGCCCATCTCATATTGTTTCAAACCACATAACAAAGGTCAACTTGGCTTTAATAAGAATTTAGCAGCTCAGAAATCAGCAGCCTATTCTCCAATTAGAGGAACCCAAACAAACGCGCCCTGAGGCTATTCGATCCTGCAGTCTATTCAGTCCTCCGGGGGATGTTATCGTGCTCAAAAAAAAAAGCATTGTAATGTTCACTTAATTACGTTCCCCTAAGAAAACCCACGTGATTACGTTACGTTTGGTTTAGTTCTTTCTCATTTCGTGTAAATCGTCCTAAGTAATTCTGGCCAAGGGAGTGGGCCTAATTTTCTATAACTAAAATTGTGGTTTTATGCTACGATACGAAATATTGCGGTCATGTATTATGTATTGTGTAATCGTTGGCTAGTAGCCTATGTTTCTCATTTCGAATTGGCAGCGTCTCTTATTTAAAATTCCTTTTGTTCTTTTTAGACCACGTTTATGCACATCCACTCACTGAGACCTTTTTGTTCATTAGCTTAGTGTTAGAACTGTGCTATTGAGTGCACGACTAGCACGAACTGGGAATGAAATACTGATTTGTCTGGAAAAAAAAATTATGTATAAATCGTTAGGCCTATTTTAAATAGTCTAAATGAAGAAAGTGGGTTTCTGTGTGGTTGTGTTCTTTACAGCGTTATCCTAAGTGTCGCACGAATGACAAATAGCGAATATTAATCTCGGGAGAGTTCCACAGAGGTTTATAATTGTTTATATGAAATGTTTCTTTTAATTCACTCACGCTGAGAAGGCTCACGCCTGCTGTCTGTCCGCGGCGGTTCCCCCACAGAACAGCTGCCAGACCGGGAGCAGCTTCGCCATTCCCAGAGCAAATGCGTCAAACCGTCTATTCTCATATAGCAGACCGGTCCCGAGCCTTACTTGAATACACGCCTATGCTAATGAGTTCAGATGGGCTTAAAGAGTTTACAAAGAACTTATGTTGTTCCCTAAAAAGTAGCTTATAGGCTAACATACCGTTAATATATATATATATATATATATATATATATATATACACACAAAACAGGATTTGTTATGTCCTCTTAAACTGATGTTATCTTGCATCATATACAAGTGCCGAGAAGAATTAGAATTTAGGCCTATATGTTAGATATTTAGATTTATAAATTAAATTGTTTGTTTTTAAATTAAATTAAATTAAATTAAATTAAATTAAATTAAATTACTTTCTTTTTTAATCCAGGTTTTTTTTTTAAACCAACACGCCTGATGCTAAAAGCCATTCACTATAATGTATCTTTCTTGAATTGTGCAGTTATTGGAATCAAATTTTAAACTTACTTTTAAACAACAGAACAGCCCCAAAAAGGTCCCGTCAAATTAGTAGTATTTCAAGAGAAAGCGTCTGACATTAGCTTTTTATCATTTTGTCTTTATTTCACCCTTTCTTTAAATCTAATAAACTTTATAAGCGTATGTACTAGTATAAGTGTATTTGTACCAAAAAAGACAAAACAAACAATCTGACAATGCACAGTCCTTTTACTGTCACGGTCACAGGCTCGTCTGGTTTAGTTTGGCCTATACGTCAAAAATGGTCCATATTAAATAATACATCTTTTTCTTCGATAAAATCGTCTCTCAGTGTTGGAGAAAAAATGCGTCTTGTGAAAGTTCAGCGCAGTCTGTCACATCACGTGTGATACATTTGTCTCTCCGTGTCTTTTCGTTTTACCGAGGATGCGGTGTGCCCACTATTGGGTTTGCTATCGGGTTCAGTGCCGGTTGTCCCCCGGGCCCCAGGCCGTGAATGAGCACTCTGGGGACGAGCGGTCTCTGGAGAGATGGATGCGGTGTGGACGGAGTCCGGTACATACTGCTGTACATGGCAGCAGCGGCGGCGGCCGCTGTCGTGCTGTCCACGGTACCTAATAAACTCGGGTGGTAGAAATACGGAGATGGGAACATTCTCTGTAAAGCCGAATAATTTCCAGCTTCAGCCAGCAGTTCTAATCCGACAGCCGTCTGCCTCTTCCATTTCGTCCTGTAATGAGATCAAAATACAAGAAATCAATTATTAAACTCTCCACATGGCTCCTTCTGGGCCAGATTGTTCGAGAAGTGAATGCTGGATTCTGGTACAAAACAAATGTAGGTAAACATCATATAAATAATATCGTTAGGCCGAAATGGTGTAAAATACATCAGAATATTGCTAACCTACTAAAACATTTTTTTTTCCCGATTAAATTTGGCTAAATTGTTAATTCCGATGCATTTAGAATTCGGTGAACTCTCTGCAACAGTGCGCAGCATGACGAACATTCGTTGCCTAAATATATAATATAATAGTTATAAGAAATTTTATACAAATATGAGCAGTGTTTCAAAATGAAAAATTGCTTAGGAGGGAAAAAGGCAGAAAATATTTGAGTTGCTTAAAGTAGCGTTGTCCATGAACAGCCATTTGCATTCAAATTATTTAAAATTGTTTAATATGACAAAACTGTAAAATACAATTTCAGACAGAATGTTAAAATTATTTGATCCATATATTTTGTTGCGCCGTTCAGATATGTAAAAGCTCGCTTAATAATACTAATAACAACAACAATAATAATAATAATAATAAAAGCCTAATAAAATAGTAACTAATAAATAATAATATAATACAAAACATCTCGAATTTTGGCAACTGCAAAAGTTTCAAATGTAGATACAAAAATATGGTAAATGCTTGCACAATCTAAAAACATTATTATTATATGTCATAAATGTTATATGGAAACTTACCGTCGGTTTTGATACCAAGTCTTGACTTGTGTGTCTGTGAGGTTTAGGGCTGCTGCCAGGTCCATTCGGTCCTGTACGCTGAGGTATTTCTGTCTTTCGAAACTGCGCTCCAGCTGGTTAAGTTGATGGTCGGAGAAGGCCGTCCGCGCTTTGCGAGGTTTTTTAGAGCGGACTGGCGGACTGTCTCTCGAACTAGATATTTCCCGATCGCCCTCTTCTTTTGCTCCTAAAGAAGTTAGTAAAATGAAAATGAAAGAAAATGTATTATAAAAGAAGTTGTTAATTTCTATATTCTTTAAATTAGTTAAATAAGTACTCAAAATAAGAACCCAGACTAATAATTTAGTAATTACTGTTCAAAATGTTTATTTTGGTAAATTGTGATTGTTATAGGCCTCGATTACATGCACAAATCTAAATCTGGTTAGGTCTGATTATTTCGTCTTGGTATTAGTAGAAACCAATATGAGTACCAGGGTCTTTAAAAAAAAATACCAGGTATACAAAAATATACATATTTGTCTCCTAAATAAATTAGGTCGCTCGTATGTAGACGAAAATATTACAGCAAAACGAGCAGGATCGATATGTCAATCTATCTCTATTTGTAGCAGTTTTTGCTGGGCTCCGTGATCCCCCCTCAAGGAAGAACAATAATCTCTCTAATTGACTCACTAGGGAGGATCCCACACCGGGCAAAATTCACCAGCCTTTACATCTGTTATGCTAATATCAGAGAATAACTTCAGTGACCGGCTACCGATATTGTTATTGTATTGTAATACTGGTTCTTACTGAAAACACAGACTAAAACAAAGCCTTTTATTTGGCTTTAATATGGACGTCGATTTTTTTTTTAATTATAATAAGTAAAAATGTTAGCCTATGGGTATTTTGTACATTGAAGGCATTGAATTAATTCAAGCGGTTGAACCACAACGTTAATTAATTGTTACAGCCCATTGAAATTATATTTGCGTTTTGTCCAAAAATCCGTTTTAATTTGGTTATTTTATTTAATGTTGCATGGCCAATTAGTTGTGAAAAATTCAATAATTCTATGCGCTTTCAACTTCACAATGAAAAAGATACTTCTTTAAACTCACATGCTTGCAATAATAAACAACACAGAAAAGTTTATTAAGACATTTAAATGTAATATTTATTTTTGTAATCTATTAGCTAATGGTTGTTTTTTTTCGCGGTACGATGCAATGTTCATATTACTGTGTAAATAATTAACGACAATTAACGTTTAAACATTAATTAACGTAATTAACGTAACGACAGTTTTCAGAATTTCAAACTCTTCTTAATAATTTATTCTATTATATTACCAAAAAGTATAAATTTCAAACGGCTACTGTGATCTAAAGGTCTACCCTAAGTTTTTATTATGTATTTAGGCTATTCATTTATTTTGTATGGAAAACGCACTCTTACCGTTACATTTTAAATTGCTCTGAATGTCATCTCTTTCCAGTTTGCTTCTGTTTTCATCTTGCTCTAGTTTGGGCCTGATGCCGTCCGGGGCGGTCCCGCTCTCTGTTTTGGGGCTGTGATGTGGAGATGGTACACTGGTGCTGTAAGGAGCGCACGCTGCTAGCGGTTTACTGTCGCCCAAAATGTCTTTGATTAGAAAGGAGGAGGTGGCAGTCCTGGGGGCACAGCCAGCCTGACCGAGCGGATGAGGCTGGGGTGAAAGTTGCAAACTCTGAGCCTGACTGTGATGATGATGGTGATGGTGATGCTGAAGGCTGTCTTGGACCAGATGCGGCTCGGGATGCTCCATCGTAACTGAGATCGGGGATGAGGGGACTGTTCCCACAGTGTCTATCTCCGAACATGGTGATGGCGTCGCCTGGCTCCTGAAATCCGCTGTTCTGTTACTATCACCGAGGCGAAAATCTCCGTTCATCAGTACTGAGCTGCCAGGATTGGTTGTGGACAAAATAGTGTCTATTCCGAAACTAGACCCACTGGATCCTTCCATAGTACAATAAAAGGATGAGCACTTAAGTCGTCTTCATAACAACTTTCCTGTACAATTTTGTAAAAGAAGAAAAAAAAACCTAATCGGAATCAATGAAACGACTAACAGAACTCAAAGGTTAACGCAATAAAAAAGCCCCGGAAAAGTACAAAATAAACATTACGCACAAATAAAAAAAAAATCCTTGCACTTACGCAAAGAAAAAGAGAAATATAGCCTGCGCTCCAAGATGTTGTTACATTCAAGGTGAAATGTGGAAAGCAAGTGGATCTGTGTAGTCCACGTCCTTTTGTTATGGTTATTGAACTTTCTTTCAAAGTTGAGGTGTGGAGAGATTGGGATGCTCTAACTCCTCGACATCACGCTCCCTTTTGCCACTAATCGCTGTAGTGTTGCTCTACAACGACTTCCTATATTGACGTCATACTTTCTCCTTTATTATAACACACTCCTCGTGTTCCCCATCTCTCCTCTCATTGGTTACATGGTCACGCGTCTGTCCAATCAGCGATTTTTACTTCATCATTACACTTTAGAGCCACTCATTGATTCCGCAGTGCTCTTTTGAAACCTTCCTTCCGCTATAATGTCTCAGACGGCATCTTCGTTTGACATAAATGCGTTTATGGTAACACTTTACATCATTTTGTGCATGTTACACATATTGCTTGTTGCTAAAACTAACAGTAATAAACTACAACAACGACGTGAAATTACTAGACGTTCCACATTATGTAATAATTGCACAAAAGTATAGCTCGGTAGCCTAATATTATCCAGCGACTAACTAATCATTTAGCATACTCTGTGATTATAGCATTCCATCTTCCGTCAATTAAAATGTAAATATATAAATTAACAAATAATATCAAAAGGGTTTACTAATTCAATTGTGAACTTTGTTTAAGGATTGCGTTTAATTGTGAACTTTGTTTAATGATTGCATTGTTTACTTGTTTAACATTCATTCATTACGTATGCTTTGTATCAGCTTATGTTTTTTTGTTTCTTTCTTTCTTTGTTTGTTTTTTCCTTCCCAGTTTATATTTCTCCAAAAGAAAACCTCACAATAATAATCCCTATTGGCAAAACAAAATTGTGTCATTTATTCTGTTGAGCACAGAGACAGTGAAACGTGCTAGAGAAATAAGCCCGTTTTGAGCTGATAGTCATTGTGTGTGTCAGGGCCTTTGAGTGAAAGCACTGATTCTAAATAGCTCAAGGGAATGAAATGATGGCGAATATTGTACATGACATATGCCCGACTTGTATCTTGCCTATTTTCTTCTAAATAAACCCTGGGCGTATTCTAGATTTATAAATCAGCTTCATTTCGTTCACTTTGTTTATACACGAGAAGACAAAGTGCGTTAAATGGAAATGTTTTCAGATTGATGAGCAGAAATTAAGTAGGCCTACCAGCGAACACTATATGCGTTTAAATCTTTACCTCTCGTTAAACATTAGGGGGAAAGAATTCTTGATAGAATAATCATTATCTTACAACACTGTTTAATGCCGGACTTTTATTTGTTAATTTTGAGTTACAGTTCAAAATGTTTTATATGCCACTGAGTGCGTAGATTTATACTGAGAGGAGGAGGATGATGCGATATATATGCAGGTATATCTGATGGCTTACATGTTCTCCAACAGACGGACTGAGAGCTGGTTATATCAGGCTGCTGCGTTCTCTAACGTAGGTTTGCTACGGTCGAGCTTTCCGTGGATCACTCCACTGTGCTCCCAAACCTGTTTGCAACCTCCTCCTGTAACGGACCGAACTGAGATTTTAACCTCTTTTATTTAGCTGAGCGACGTGGGAGGCATCATTTAGGTTTGTTGTGCGCACCGCTTTAATTTATTTTACAAAAAGGAAATAAATAATCTTTAGAAAACAGTTTTATGTGGTTATATATGTTCATAGATTTTTATTATTATTATTATTTGGAATATGCTATAATTATAATTTAGGTTTATTACGTAGGCTATTATATGTGCCTGTCTGTTTTTGTTGCAAAGGATTTCTTGAACATATGTTTCGGAAAAATTGTTGAAAATATTGCAATCAAAAATATAAGGGATTGCATGTTCGTTTTTCGTACATGTTCCTCTATTCGTATAAAATTGTTTCTCCGGGGGAAAAAAAACTCAACAATCTCTTTAAATGTTCAGCCTGTTTAATAATTCATACTGATTTACATGACTGTACTGGAGACTGTCTTTTAAAAATATTTTATTTTAAAGTTTATTTTGTTTAAATGTTCTTGTATTTTGCTTTTTCCTGTGGCGACCTAATAGCTGACCTGTTACACGTAATAGTAACTATCTGGTTAGAAGTTTCTGCAAATTTGGTGACTAAACACTTCAACGATAAAAATCTACGATGATGTATATATACCATGCATGCAATTGTCAGTTTGAATTATATACATATTGTGCTTGACTTGTTCGCTTGTCATTCCTAAAATGTCTGTATTCTGTACTGAACTTAAATAATTAGTTAAGTCGTGGCTAATTGGTAAATTCTTGTAAAACACGCACTCCCTGACATGATTTTACACACGCTCAGTAATAACACTAGGCGGCGACAAAGCTGTCTCAGAATTCCTGTCAATAATCGCTTGAAGACTGCTGGTTAATGCAGGGCAAAACCTCTCTATGTACACATACCGACATCAAGTTTTAACAACAGCCAAACCCAACTAAATGCCTAAATAGGTGTCTTGAATATCTGAGGTGGTTACATAAATCAATTAAGATACACTGTAGTTAAGGTTGTACTCTGAACTGACTTTAATGGATTTAGGCAATATCTAACAATTTTCCAGTCACATCTAAATACATTATATTAACTTCCTGCCAAAAAGTTTATTTTAAAATGTTTTAGAAACATTTTCTACATAGGCTATAATTATTTGGCCATATGATATTTGCTGCCATAGCCTACAGATATGCTTGACCTTTTATACATATATTCAAATTTACTATCTAATTTAGTTAGAGGAGTGAAATCTGTTTTGCCCCAAGATGTGAAAACGATCTATTGGCAATGTATGTCTTTCCGTTGAAGAAAATCAAAGCGATGGTTGAACACGCCAGTCAATCTCATGAGACTCCAGCAGCATGTTCATTAACAGTTCACTAATTGCAGCAACTCATTGAGCCTCAATCAATCGCTTTATTAGGTTTAAGGGCGCCGCTGGAACAGATTGAATACAACCAGTCAGGGTATCATCTGATCAGCCGGGGCTGATGGTCGATGATCGGACGGTGAAATTGTAGTTTGCACTGTATTGATTCCCCTCGCGGCTTTCTGTTGAAACTGTCACCTCGCGAATGCTGAAGGCCTCGCGCTGTTTGCAGACACACAGGTTTTTCCACTTTGTCATATAGGCTACTTCATGCACAATCTCTGTAAGCATTTATCAAACGTAAATACCAAATATTAATCTAATATCTAATAAATCCCCGAACGATCTGAAAAAGACACATCATTGAAACAAACACAAGAAGTTGAAAAATATATTTTTTTATAAATGCAGTAGGTAGTGATGTTTTAAAAACATAATGCTCTTTTTCTAAGTTTCTTTACTGTTCATTTTACTGTTCAGTTGCAATATGATTATGATGTATTTTATATTAAGGTTTATTCATAACCCAGGGAAAATTTCTGCAATTAGTAATAAATTATGGGGCAATAAATAAGCAACCGCATGAACCCCAAACTAACTGATCTTAACTGATTAAAGACAACCGAGTTGTCAGGAAGTGTAGACTATAAGATCTGTGGACATTGATGAAATCACAACAGTGCGGGTCAGAATTTGTGTTAAAAGATATTTGAGGAATGCAATCAAAAAGAGACATTATAAAATATACAGTACTTACAAAGAACATAATTTATTTACATTACACTTTATTTACATGCGACAAGCTATTTTAGTGAGACTTATTAAAGACATCCCTGCCATGGATGTCGTGCACATAATTATATTTACAAATCTTAAAGTGTTGAGTATTAATCTGTGTTTCATTTGCAAGTGCCATAAAAGCAGGCTGTAAAGGATACACTGTATTCAACTGGCATGCGCTTGAGCAGGGACAGCATTGGACAGAACACGGTCTCACACAGAAATGCAGATTTATCAGAGAATCATGGGTCTGACAGAAGACAAATTAGCTGTCTCTCTCTAAACATGTCTAACATCTCTATTTGAGCGGACAGGAAAAGGCTAACACAAAATTGTTATGAAAGTCAAAATTCAACAGGAAATATTATTTTAGAAGCTCTCGTATGGAAGGTTGGTGTTCTCTGTGAGCTGTGACATTTACAGCAGTGGCTTTCAGGATCCCAATATTCCAGTTTTTACTAGATCTTAACAGTATTCCCCCCTCTTCCTCTCAACAGTGCTTGAATTTACACTGTAATAAAACATGTGACATTCAAGTTTAATTTGAAGTGCAGCTAGTATTAATCCAAAGGCAAACAAGGAAGGGAATTAATACGCCTAGAAGGAAACAGACGGGCCTATGGCCTAGATGAACATCAATTACAGTTTTAATTTAACACCCATATCAAATGTTAAAATGCGTGCGAAAGCGGGAGACGGGGATAACGCGCAGAGTGTCATCAGCGAAGTCTCTGTCTCGTTTTGTTTACGTAAAACAGCAATCCATCCAAGAACTACAATGTACATTTTGGTAAGCGACGATGACACATGAAGCACATGCGTGCCCATCCCCACATCGCGTCTCTTTGTTAGTTTTTCTGCTCTACTCTATAGTGTTTGCTCAAGGAAAGCACATTGATTTGTGCGCTCCGGCCTCAGACCGGCCCTGACAATGTTGTTCTAGCAGTCAGAAGGGCCTTTACAATCACCTAATTACCAGAGCTGTCAATCAGCGCGGGCCGCGGCTGGCTCTGTCCGTGACCGCGAGCTGCATTCCTGCGCGCGGCTGAGCGCGTGATTGATCCGTGCTGATGGCATCGAGCCGCCTCATGACGTGTGATTCTGTGGCGCGTGCACGCTTCACAAAGGTAATCGGGGGATCAGGAGGGGTCAATGCCATTTCCTATTACTTGAAGTCTAAAAGCGCAAAAAATCACGAGGAAATAAGACAGAAGAGGGGGAGAATGAGGGGTGGAGGGTGTGAACGCTGCGCATTGCTCAAGGGGCGAGCGAGCAATTGAGCAAGACGCGAAAATTATTTCCTTTCAAAGCAACAAAAGCCAGATTGAGATTGTCCAGCACTGCTTTAGACAGATTTAAAACCGTTCGCACGTTATTACAGTGATAGGCATCAACACTGACAGAATGTTTGGAGGCTAAATCAGGGATAGGCCTATCTGTGTGTCTTCACTGCTGTCGTTCAGAATTAGTTCGGCA